CCCCGAGACTATGTACATAAAAAGAGGTACGATCTCTTGAAACATAAATATACAGTGTATAAATCCGGGTGTCACCTAAAAGGCTGCAGACGCAGAACTATTTCACAGACAAAAAGCAAACCGAACTCACCGCGCCAAGTGTAGACACACGGCCGCGACGTTTGGGGAAGGGGGGTGGGGGATACTTGCAGGCAAAGGACCGACCCCGCTGGGCGGTGGATCCTTGTGTCCGCACACGCACCAGGGAAGGGTGCCAGTGGTTTCCGGGGGGTGTAACACAACTGCACGTACCACGCCACGTCCCTACACTCTACCTAGGGTGCGGGTGAGAGGTCGGGAAATGGGATTTGACCCTGAGTCCCCAATTATTTCCAGGCACGTGCTCTGCTGGAGCAGTTAAAAGCCTCTAACGTGGCTCCAGCAGGTTCTTTATTATTGCTCACCAACAGAGATACTTGGTATCTCTCAGTGCAGACTCCGAACGCGCAGGTTGAGATTCTGCACCCTGTGCTTTAAGAGTTACCATGACTTTCATGGAAATAATACAGCCTTGATCAGGGTAAAAGACTAACGGAGGTCTTTAGCCCAATCTTAAAGAGGTTTGCTTTCTACAGCACGGACACGCTACAACTCACATACATAAATAGATACCAGTTACTGTAAAGTGACAATGCAGTGTCTTAATTATTCTAGCATTATCCTTTCTGCTGTTAGGGAAGATGTGAGAGCGGTTAGGAGACGTGGGGCGGAGAGCTGGTGTTTGACAGAGGCTGCAAGAGGAACAGGTCCAGCTCTAACTGGAAGTGCAGGTAGACAGCCAGAAGACACTTTTAGCTTTACTTGATAGGTGGTTTTATGGCATGCAATAGAACTCCTAAGACAACACTTTATACAAAGCACACAGCATCTCCAGTCCCACTGGTGGTATCTCAAGAGAACAAGTAAAGCTAAGAGTCTGCTTGCAAGGGGAGGCCACCCGGGGGGGGGGAAACGTCCTGTTTTGCTGAAACCAAGCTCTTCGGCAAACCTCCTTCTCTCTACCGCTGGCCGGCCTCCCGGATCCGGCAGGCCACCGCCGTGATGAGCGCCGCGCCCTTGCCGCTGCCGTCTTCCGACTGGAGGAAGGTCACTTCGCACTTCGGAGACAACTGCTTCACTGTTTCGTGCATGATGGTGGAGAAGCTGTGGGGCACAGGAAGGAAGAGCTGCTGGTTTAACTCGCCTCGGGCTGAAGGTGCCAGTCCCACAAGGAACAAACCACACCGGTCGTACAGAGACAGGAGAAAGGTGGGAGGAGAGAGACCTGCTGGGTAGGAGGCACCGGAAAGCACAAGTCTCCGTGCTGCGGCCCAAGTCCACAGTCAGCACAACACGCCTGTGCTCTCCCTCCACGCAGGACTAGATCTGGCCCCTTCTCTAGTCCCCCCAAGCCCTGAGAGCACTAGTACACCTCCACCTCCCCTGGGGGGATCTTCGGAGCCCTCCCCTCACCCACGGGCCCCTAAGCCCCATTCAAGCTCAGCCCAGCGCCTTTAGTCCCTGTCTCAGCAACACTGCTCCAGGAGCACCGGCCTTCAGCTCAGGCATAGTCGTCTTTTCGTTGGACGGACTTCTTGGTCCATGTCATGGACTGACGTCTTGGCCTAAGACCTGCCTTGTCCCCGTGACTCTGATGATCTGGACTCCTGGTTGAACCTGGTCACTATCTCTGGGCCAACCTGGCCTCGGGTGCTGTGGGACTGGCTCCCGGCTGCTGCGTGACCAGTCTCGGCATCCCATCCTTTAGGGAGCAGCTGGTTTTTGCTCTGCCTTGGGAGAGTTTAGATCTGCGAGCTACTGGCAGCCCTCGAGACCCTGAAATACCTCCTCTCCTCTCCAACCACCCCCTGAGACTTTCCACCCTGGCTCTTACTTAGCACCCAGTCTGCCCAAGACAGGCACCAGCATGAGCCCCCCTGGAGAACAACCGCACACCACGGAGCAACTCACTGAGGGTGCAGCTTGTAGAGTGTCCCATCCACGCCGACTGTGACCTTGAGGAAGTCCAGCCCGCGGTTCTCCCGGATCTTGTCCACCACGGCTGCCATGCCGGCCCCGCAGAGCTGAGCTGCCCGCCGGGCCACCACCGCACACACCTCCTTCACGATGATGCTGTCGTCGCACGTGGACTCCAGGCCGAGATGCTGGAGGATGGAGCGGACTTGGAGCAGGGCCAGGCAGTCACTGGGGAGGACACGGGGCCAGGCAGCGTTAGGAGAAAGAGCAACTTGGGTGCGTGGCTTCCCCTTTCTTAACTACATCCTGCAGAGCCCAGGGACTCGCGGCTTGGGTGACAGGGACTGGAGGGACTCCACAGCTCCCCTCTAACCTGTGTCCGACCTGGGTGTGGCTCTGATGTCACATCCTAATCTGTGAGGCTGTCTCAGGACAAAGCCACTGACTCGGAGCATGACAGATATTTAACCTGTGCTCCCTCCCCATCCAGGCAGAGGGCAAAGTTGTGTTCCCACCCCCAGACAGTTTCCTTGTCTCTCAACACTTTTAGACTGGCTCAAGGAAGGATTTCTGTGCAGAAGGGGCTGTTGGGCGTTGGAATGGGCTGCCCAGGGCAGGGGGGAGTCCCCGGGATCCCTGGAGGGGTTGAAGAGTCGGGCTGAGCCAGCGCTGAGGGGTCTGGGGGAGTTGGGGGGGTCAGGGGGAGGGTCATGGTGGGGCTGGAGGAGCTGCGGGGGCTTTTCCAACCCGGATGATTCTGTGAACACCGGCACTGTCAGAGCCACGTGGATTTTGCTCACTTATCTGCATTGCACCACCCTACATCATCCTGGCGCCAGACTGAGTGCTTGGGACTGATCCTACAAGCCCTGGGAATGATTTCCTCAAACTACATCTCCGCGTGGATCTGGCTGTAAGGGCAGAGTTGGTGCCCACCCCACCTGTCGGACCTCACCTTTCTATCTGGGACAGGAACTTGGTCTCAAAGATCCCTCTGGTCTTCAGCCTCTCCGAGATCCGTCCCCGGAAGAGCAGCCCTCGCTTGGTGAAATCCATCAGGATGTTTCGGACAATCTCCCCCAGGTACATCCCGCTGATCATCTTCTCAAACCTGGGAAGGGGAGGGCAAGGCTGGACATCAGGACAAGAAGGGACACGGGGTCTGGAACAAGATCCCAGCTCTGCCAGATGCCTTTGACCCCTGGCCTGACACCGGGAGCAAGTCCAGCAGCACGGTCCCCACGGGCAGGGGACAAGGGACACTTCGTGTGTTGCAAAGCCAGACTCTGCCCTGCTCATCATCCCCTGACGCTCCACCAAGAGGCTGGTGGGGCAGCACTGAACTGTTCACCAGGGGTCCCCTCCCAGCCCCCAGAGCCACCACGCACCTTTGCTTCCCAGGGTTGAGAGACAGCTCATCCACTGCCAAGTCAAACTCTGTCCGAATGTCATCCAAGCACCCGCTGTCACCAAACGCCCCCCACTCCATGTTGACACACATCCTGCCCTCCTCCCCTTCCACCAGCTCCACGTTCCTCATCTCCTCCATGTAACAGGCATTGCTGCCTGTGCCTGCAGAGAGAGAAGCATCTTTCAACGGGGCTCTCAGAGAAACGGGGTGCCTACGCAGGAGAAAAGCCCCCGGACACCTCCTGCACCCACGGAGGCAGGTTTGGAACCGCAGGCAGAGGAACTCCATGAGAAAGTTTCAGTCCTCACCAACTATCAGCCCAACTTCGCAATAGGGGTCTTCGTACCCACAGGTCATCATGGTGCCAACCGTGTCATTGACCACCGCAACCACGTCCAGGTCGAATTCCTGCAGAGGAATAGATCGTGTGGGTTATTCTGGAGGACGCAGCTTGCTCCATCTGCTCCCACCACTGGGAAAGGACCCGTCTGCTGGGCGTGGGAGTCCTCCAGGCATGCACAGGCTCCCTGCAGCCCCACGTGTCTGCAGGTGGATGCTCAAACCTCAAAACACCTCCAGCTAGACAACGGCAGGGGAGCTGGCACGCTGGGACAGCCCTGCCAGAACAGCCCCCGGGGCGGGAGCTTTGGGTGGTCTGCGCTGAGGAAACCACCGCGGTGTCTCCCGAACTCACGGCGAGACAAGTCTGCTCCAGCCCTGGCCAGACGCCAGCTCTTAGCTCCGGGGTCAGAAAATCCAACCTCGAGTGATGACTAAGGTTGGCTCTTAAAATTCAGACACTCATTAGCCCTGCGCTCAGCCCATTAATTTGCTTTACAGGCCAATTAAAGATGGAAAAGACAGCCGGGATGTGGGAGCAAGCAGCCAGCTTCTCAGAGCGACGTGGACACTGACCTCTCTCCTGTGAATTGCCTCCTTCAGCAGGTTCACCACATCTTCTCCTTCACAGCCGGTTGCCTTGAAGCCTTTCGTCCACTTCAGGAGGATCCCCTGGTGTGGAAATAGCCCTCAGTGAACCGCCCAGGCGGCTGGGCAGGAGGGGCAGCAGCCCCCCAGCCACCAGCCCTCGGCGGGCACTGCCCGGCACGTGCAGTCAGGTCCTCAGGCATGGAGGACACCCCAGCTGGGTGGTCTCCAGAGCTCAAGGGATCTGAATTTGCTTTGATGCAGCAAAGAGCCTTTTCGGAAGCCCTGAGCTCGGAGCTCCTGCCTCCCCCTCTCCCGGGTCTCTCTGACCCACCACGGGATGCTGGTATGTAGTTTCCAGCCAGCCCTGGGTACGGGACGTGTGTGCTACCAGGTGGGTTGGGGTTACCTCGTCCAGGTTGGTTTGCTGGCAAGGGAAGGAGAACGTGAATCCGAGCGGGAGCGATACGCCCTTCATTCCCATGTATTCCAGGAAGTCGGAGATGCAGTGGACAATGTGGTCAAAGAGCTGTGAGTGAGCAAAGCCAGAAGAAGAGGTTACCATCACAGCAAGGGACTCGGCTGCCTGCCAGCCTGCCTGACCCGCTGGAGATGTTGATCCTTTCCCAAGCCAACAGGGCTTTGAACAGTCCAGGATGCTGCTCGGCTGTGCTATGTGAAGTGAGCAAGTCCAAAACAGCTCCTCTTTCATCCTCTTCCCACCAACAATGTGGTCACAGAATCCCCGAACCCTTCAGGTGGGAAAAGCCCCTCGGGGTCACCGAGTCCAACCCTCAGCCCGACTCCACAAAGCTCTCCCCTACCCCACATCCCCCACAGCTCATCCCAACGGCCCTGAAACCCCCCCAGGGATGGGGACTCCCCCCTCCCCGGGCAGCCTGTTCCACTCTCGGACCACTCTTGCTGGGAAACATTTTCTCCTCCTGCCCAGCCTGACCCTCCCCTGAGGCAGTTTCCAGCCGTTCCCTCTTGTCCTGTCCCTGATCCCCTGGGAGCAGAGCCCAGCCCCGGCCTCTCTGCAATGTCCTGTCAGGAGCTGCAGGGAGGGATGAGGGCTCCCCTCAGCCTCCTCCTCCTCACCCTGAACACCCCCAGCTCCTTCCCTGGCTCCTCACAGGATTTATTCTCCAGCCCCTCCCCAGCCTCGCTGCCCTCCTCTGCCCTCGCTCCAGCCCCCCCAGATCTCTCTCGTACTGAGGTGCCCAGTGATCATATCACTGTGATCCTTGCAGGTCCCCCGCTGCACCCAGGAGGGGTGGAGGGGCTAGTGGGGAGGCGAGGGTGACACAGCGATCTGGTCCCTCTGCAAGGCATCCCCAGAGTCCATCTGTAGAAATACTCCCAGTCCCCAAGCACTGCCTGGAGTGGTTTGCCCTCCATCTGCAAATAAGACTCTGGAGACATCTCTTACTGCTTGTGTTGTGGTTTCTCCATCTGGGAAATGGGGATGATGCTTATCTGCCATTGTGGAGTGTGTGGGATTCGGGGAGGTTCAGCCGTGTCTGAGAATAACACAATTTCTAACCTAAAAGCCAGTCTCAAGCTTCCTAAAGCACATTTCAAGCTCCAGAGCCTTGCTCTAAGGGCAGGAGAGCACCAGCCTTCTCCACTCCGGGGTTTGCACGCGGAAAAGCACAGCAAGGCAAAACCCGCTCCCGTGGTCAGCACTAGGACCCGCCACTTCTGTTGCCACCCCAGGGAAGACGCCTCAGCTTTCCAGCTCCCGCTGCCCGTCCTCACCTCCTCTCCCGTCCCCTGCATGATCTCCACCGGGATGGAGTAGATCTTGTTGTGCATCTCGACACCACGCCTCATCCCGTTCCTGACACGCACCAGCAGCACTCGGAAATTGGTACCGCCCAGGTCCAGGGCGAGGAAATCTCCTTTTTCTGAAACCCAAGAGAGAGTTCTTAAGAGAGAGATCCCGACAAGGGGCATCCTGGACGTGGCGCAAAGCTGATCCCACTCTGCCCTCTTCCTGGGAGAGGACCAGGAACCAGGATGTGGCTGGGAACGGAGAGCAGCAGGAAGGTGATGGAGACGTTTGCTCCGGACTCGGGGAGGTCACAGGGCCTCAAGCCAAGGGACGGGCGCACGCCCAAGCCACCGGCAGGACTGGGAGCACAACCCAGGACAACGGCGGCGAGAAACCTGGGGCAGCAAACACCACAGTGACAGCCAGGCTTTGTGTTAAGTCAAGCGCAGAATGTCCTGGAGGTTCAGCCGCTTGTCCCAGTATCATACTGGAGGTTAAAAAACTTTGTGCCACTCCCACCACAAAGAGGGAACTGGCTGTGAGAAAGGCCCCAGCCCTTCCCTAAGCAGTGCAGGGGTCAGGAGCAGCGACAGCGGCTCTTCGCCCCGTGCAGGACACACGTGGGCTTATCACAGAATCCCAGAATCGTCCGGGCTGGAAAAGCCCCTGCAGCTCCTCCAGCCCAACCATGACCCTCCCCCTGACCCCCCCAACTCCCCCAGACCCCTCAGCGCTGGCTCAGCCTGACTCTTCAACCCCCCCAGGGATCCCGGGGACTCCCCCCTGCCCTGGGCAGCCCATTCCAACGCCCAACAGCCCCTTCTGCACAGAAATCCTTCCTCAGAGCCAGCCTGACCCTGCCCTGGGCAGCTTGAGGCCATTCCCTCGGGGCCTGGCGCTGGGGCCTTGGCTCCAGAGACTCATCCCCCCTCTCTGCCCCCTCCTGGCAGGGAGTTGCCGAGGGCCAGGAGGTCTCCCCTCAGCCTCCTCTGCTCCAGACTGAACCCCCCCAGTTCCCCCAGCCGCTCCCCAGCAGACCTGTGCTCCAGACCCTGCCCCAGCTCCGTCACCCTTCCCTGGCCACGCTCGAGTCACTCAATGGCCTTTTTGGGGTGAGGGGCCCCAAAACACTCATGGTACATCACCTGTCCCATCCGGAGTTGAGCACACGTAGGTGGGCAGCATTTTCACCGTTGCCTCTGCATGCGTCTCCTTGCCCAGCCCATTCTCCATCTCTATCCTCATCCTCTGCTTCACCTCCAGGAGCTGCTCGTGGCTCAGCTTGAGGGCCTCCAGAATCTTCTGCCGTGCCTTGTGCTGGGCAGCCAGTCTGTAGGCCACCGCCGTCACCATGGCTGCCCCTTTGCCACTTCCATCTTCTGACCTCGTGAAACGGATCTCGCAGTCCGGCAGCAGCTTTCGCACCGTCTTATGGAGGCGCCGGGCAAAGCTACGGAGGGAGAAAGAGGACTTGAGTCTGCCACCACGGGCGATGGGACCCTCGGAGGGGCCCAGGGGAATATTTGGAGATGCTCTGCTTGTGCCAAGCTTTCTCCGCCGCTGGCAGGAGCAGATGTGTGCTCCCACCCTCTCTCCCCCCCCTCGCCGATCCTCATGGACTCACTGAGGATGCTTCTTGTAGACGGAGCCATCCACGCCGACCGTGGAGCGCAGCCGCTCCACCCCCTTGTTCTCCTTGATGCGTCGCAGCACGGCTGCCAGGGTGGCCCCGCACAGGTTGGCCGAGCGGGTGGAGACGATCTGGCAGATACGGAGGGTGGCCACACAGTCTTCATGAGATGGCTCCAGGCCCAGCTTGGTGAGGATCTCGTGGGCTTTCTGCAGACCTTCTTTCTCCCTGCACATCAAAGAACAAAAAAGGATTCATGCCCGGAAATCCAACTTTTGCCATCTGAAGTGTCCTGGTTTGCTCAGCCCCGCCATGGGTCCTGTTCTCCTTCAGCACAGATGTCAGGAGATGGGCTGGGACCCCAGGAAACCCTCCTGATCCTACTTACTTCTCAATAGCAGAGACGTATCTGGTCTCAAAGTGGCCAGTAGTGAGCAGGTCTGGTGTGAGATTTCCTCCAAACAAGAGCCCTTCCTTGGCCATCTTCACCAGGATGAGTCTGACCAGCTCTCCCATGTACATCCCACTGATCATCTTCTCAAACCTGCCGACAGGGGAAGCACAAGATGTGTCTGGCTGCGCGCGCTCCGAGGTGGCCACCGGTTGACCTTAAAAACACTTGGCAGCCTTCCAGGCCCAAATCCAATCTAGGTAATCTCTTTCCAGAGGAGTTTATCCCATCACTGAGAAAATAAAGCCATGTTGACATAAGCATCACTCTGCAAGGAGAACTTGGGGCTACCTGGAGGGGGTCCGTTAGCCTGCAGAGGCCTCCCCCACCAAATCCCACCCATTCTGCCAGAAGCCATCTGGGGAAGGGGAGGTCTGCAGGACTTGGATGTGGACATTAGGTGGGGATGTTTGCCCTGGCTGGCAGAAAACTTCACTGGCCACAAAAAAAGAAACAGAAATCAACACCCTCAAGTGAAAGGCTCAAGAGGGAAGCGGGAGCTGAATGGTTCGGTTGGGTGTATCAACCCAAATTCGTGATACAGCCCCTATTTGCATTGGTGCAGCTGGCACGGCGGAGGACGCGGTGACCTAGTTAACTAGGACAACCTCTTCAGTGCCACTAACGCCAGCGCGAGGGGAGGACGGACAATGCAGAGCAAACCCTGAGCCTGAGCCAAAGCCAAGAATCTGCTTACAATTGTTTGCCAGGGTTGAGCGAGCCCATGTCGATCTCTTGGTCGAACTCCGTCCGGATGTCGTTGAGCACGCCGTCGTCGCCGAAGGCCCCCCACTCCATGTTGATGCACATCCGACCTTCATCCCCTTCCACCAGGTCAATGTGCCTCATCTCCTCCATGTAACAGGCGTTGGTGCCGGTGCCTGAACCAAGCATGGGGACACGGTGAGAGAGGGTGCTGCCTCTCCCTTGTTCCCCACGATTAGCAACAGTGAAATGCACCACAGAAGGCGAAGATGGAAAAACAAACACTGGACAATGCTGGTTTTCTAACATCACTATCCCCTTTCTTTTTCACCCAAAAGACCCTGAAACCTGCAAGAAATGTCTCCTTCTGGAGTTCATGGAGAGACGGGCCCTAATTCTGCCCCCTCGCTGCAGCTCACCAACGATGAGGCCAACTTCACAGTTATGATCGTCGTAGCCACAGGTCATCATGGTCCCAACAGTGTCGTTCACCACGGCCACAATGTCAATGTCAAAGTCCTGAGATGGTGGAGAGGAGAGAGGTTGAGTCAACGTGGCCAAAACAAACCAAAACATCTCTGCTGTCACAGGGGAGTCAAGTGCGGAGCCTTAAGTATCCCGTCCCAGCACCCCGGGAGGTGACAGACCTGCCCAAGTTCTTACCCCTCTTTTCTTGATGGACTTGCGCAGCATCGACACCACGTCTTTCCCCTCCACGCTGCTGCATTTGAATCCCTTCGTCCATGTAACGAGGATGCTCTACGGAGGAACAGCAGGAAGGAATGCTCAGAGGACGGACCCACCAAGCCACGTACCTCAAGGGTTCCCCGGTGCAGGGGCAGGAAGGACACCCAGGTCTGTCCCTCCCTGTTACCACCTCGTGTACCAGCAATATTTCCACATCTCTGAGCAGATAAAAGTTTATGGCTGCAACACAGCGCACAAGTCGCTCGTTGCTCCTGCCGGCAGGAGAGAACGTGATTCCCATGAGTGGGTTTTATGGAGCCCTGGAGCAAAACCTGTTCCCAAGTGCACGGAGAGCCCCTTAAGCCACCCCTGCGGGATGGGGGGGTCTCGCTGTCCCCACCCAGGGCAGCCACCGCAGTCACCTGACAGAGGCCGAGCTGAGCCTTGGAGGAAGGCAAAGGACTCGATTCCATCTGAAATCCCCAACCCTAGAGCCCCAGATGCCTTCACGAGGCAAACACCAGCCCTGCCTTACAGATGGGGAAACTGAGGCAGAGAGCAAAGCAAACTGGTCGAGGTCACTGGGGACAGATGCTTCCTCTCCCGACTTCTTTCTTTTTTTTTTTTTTTTTACAGCCCCCACTCCTACCACGAGGAAAGCGTTAATCTTCTTCCTCATTACTTTTGCCAAACCGCTCAGGCACAAGAGCTCGACTTGCCCCATCCCCGGTACAAAATGTCGTTGCCGCCGCGTTCCCGCCTAGGAAGGACGTGCTGGATTGCCAGCGCGCCATGGAGCCGCCCTCCTTTCCAATCCTGCCTGGGAAGCCGGGTGAGATAAGGGCAAGGAAAGCAGCAGCCCCCCTCCTTGCCCCCCCTCCACGATCAAGAGCCCGGCAGAGGCCGTGGGTGGCAGGAGAGGAGCCACGTGCCCCGGCCGCGCGCTGCTCGCCGAGGTGTTTAGTCTCCCAGCGAGGTCACCAGCTCCCAGCGCAGAGCCAGCGCGGCTGAGCGGAGCTGACAGCCATCGATTCCCGGCTTGCCCAGGGCACGGCGAGCAGCCGGGGAGGGTGACCCCCCCTCCCCGCGCCGGCTGCGTGACGGGGATGTGATGCTCGGCACGTCTGGGCTGCCTTTGGCTGCGGGCGGCTGGAGCTGCTCTCCTTGGGCTCTGGCTGCAGAGGGGGAGAAGCCGCTTTCGGGGGCGGCATCTGCGCCGAGCGGAGCAGGCAGCACGCTCCACATCACCTCCCGGGCCCTGCAAGCCCAGGACACATCCTGTGCTCCCATCAGCACCGAGACCTTACACACTACCCAAACCCAACGAGCCTAATTAAAAGCACAAGATAAATTACAGGACCCCAGAACTATCCGGGCTGGAAAAGCCCCCGCAGCCCCTCCAGCCCCACCATGACCCTCCCCCTGACCCCCCCAACTCCCCCAGACCCCTCAGC